GCCTCCTCCGCACCCCCTGGTGGAGAAACAACAGAACACCCCCACTCCAGATCCCCACAGTACCCCCCCTTCAATGACCGCCACCTGGCGGTCCAGCAGAGCCGGATGGGAGGGAGGAACGGTAATCGGAGATCAGGGAAGGGTCTAGAATAAACGAACTGGGGACCCACATGCGCTCCTCAGGCCCGCAACCCTCCCAATCAACGAGATATTGCCACCCACGACCTCGCCGACGGGAATCCACGATCCGGCGGACAGAGTATGCCGGGTGGCCGTCCACGTCCAGGGCGGGAGGAGGGGACGCGGCTGGAGGGCACAAAGAACTGGTAAGAACAGGTTTCAGTTGGGAGACATGAAAGGTGGGGTGAACACGAAGAGAGGCAGGCAGACGGAGGCGGACAGCAGATGGGTTGATAATCTTTTCTATAACATAGGGGCCAATGAAACGAGGGGACAGTTTCTTCGACATGGCCTTCAATGAAATGTCTTTGGTGGCCAACCAAACCCTCTGTCCGGGAGTGTACAGTGGAGCAGGTCTCCTCCTCTGATCCGCAAAATGACGGTTCTGTTGAGCTGTCCGATTTAGTGCGGAAACTGCCTGGTTCCAGATGTTTCGACAGCGGCGAACATGATGTTGGACCGAGGTGACTGAGATGTCCTTTTCGTCAGCGGGGAACAGTGGAGGTTGGTAACCTAACGAGATCTCAAAAGGAGAGAGACCAGTGGCGGCAGAAATGTGCGAATTATGTGCATACTCCACCCATGTGAGGTACTTGCTCCAGTCCAGAGGATTAGTCGAAGAGAGGCATCGGAGAGTGGATTCCAGTTCCTGATTCAGGCGTTCCGTCTGTCCGTTCGACTGAGGATGATAACCTGAAGTCAAAGAAACCTTAGCATTTAGCGCAGTACAGAACTGCTTCCAGACTTGAGCGGTAAACTGCGGGCCTCGATCAGACAAGATATCTTGTGGAATGCCATGAAGACGGAAGACATGTCTCACCAGGAGCTGTGCGGTCTGAAAGGCCGATGGAAGTTTCTTTAACGGAACTAAATGACACGACTTCGAGAAACGGTCAACGATGGTGCAAATGGTGGTCATACCCTTCGAATTAGGCAGTCCGGTAATGAAATCGAGGGCAATGTGTGACCAGGGACGCTTTGGGATAGGCAGTTGGTGCAAAAGACCGGATGGTGGTAAATGGGATGACTTGTTTCGAGCGCAGACCGGACAGGCTAGGACGTACTCCTTTACATCCTTATGGACAGACGGCCACCAAAACCTACGGGAAATTAGCGCAATGGTCCGACTAATCCCGGGGTGAGCTGAGAATTTGGCGGTATGCATCCAGTTGATAAAACGACTTCTGACTGTAGTGGGAACATAGATCTTATTGGCTGGACCGGTACCCGGGTCAGGCTCAAACTCCTGAGCCCGCCGAATAAGGTCCTCTATCTCCCAGGTAACCGAGGCTATGGTACAGCTAGGAGGGAGGATGGTGACCGGAGTCTTTTCAGCATCATTTACGGAGTACAACCTAGATAATGCATCTGGCTTAGTATTGTGAGCACCAGGACGGTAGGAGACTGACAGGTTAAAGCGTGAAAAGAACAGGGACCAACGGGACTGGCGGGGATTGAGTCTCTTAGCAGCCTGGATGTATGCGAGGTTCTTATGATCTGTCCAGACCAAAACTGGATGGGCAGCGCCCTCTAACCAGTGCCGCCACTCCTCGAGAGCCAACTTAATGGCCAGCAGCTCCCGGTCACCAACATCATAGTTTCTTTCCGCAGAGGACAATCTGCGGGAAAAAAAAAGCACAGGGATGAGTTTTATGGTCCAGATCTGAGAATTGTGAGAGAACAGCCCCAACGCCAGAATCTGATGCGTCCACTTCCAATATAAACTGTTTTGCTGGATCTGGTTGAATCAGGATGGGTGCATTGGCGAACATTGATTTAAGATGATTGAAAGCTGCATCTGCTTCAGGAGTCCAGGTGAAATGAGTCTTGACGGAAGTAAGGGCTGTTAGTGGTTGAGCGACCTGACTGTAATTTCTTATGAATCTGCGATAGAAATTGGCAAAACCCAGGAACCTCTGCAACTGTCTCCGGGTCACAGGGGTGGGCCTTTCCAGTACTGCTTTGATCTTCCCCTCAGTGGGTTTTACCTGCCCGCCCTCGAGAATATAGCCTAAGAAAGTGACAGAGGATTTATGGAACTCGCATTTCTCGGCTTTTACAAAGAGCTTGTTCTCTAGGAGGCGCTGGAGAACGAGACGGACGTGTTTCTTGTGTTCCAGAAGATTTCTGGAATAGATCAGGATGTCGTCTAAGTACACAAAGACGAAAACGTTCAAAAAATCTCTGAGGACGTCGTTAATGAGAGCCTGAAAATAAGCAGGAGCGTTGGACAGGACGAAAGGCATGACCAGGTACTCAAACTGACCTAAGGGGGTCTTAAATGCCGTTTTCCACTCATCTCCCTCACGTATGCGGAGGAGATGATATGCATTCCTTAGGTCTAATTTAGTAAACACAGTGGCTCCGTGAACTGGCTCAAAAGCCGATGACAGGAGGGGAAGAGGATACTTGTTCTTAACAGTTATATGGTTGAGCCCTCGAAAATCAATACATGGACGGAGGGTCCCGTCCTTTTTCCCCACAAAGAAGAAACCGGCACCTAATGGTGATGAGGAGGGGCGAATGATGCCGGCTTCTAGAGACTCTTTTATGTACCTCTCTAATGTCTCTCTTTCAGGTCGGGAGATGTTGTATAACTGACTATTGGGCAAAGGCGCCCCTGGGAGGAGCTCAATGGCGCAATCATACGGTCGGTGAGGAGGTAGTGAAAGTGCCTTTGACTTACTGAATACCGGGGCCAGGTCGTGGTAATCTGCCGGGATGGAGGAGAGATCTGGTGGATCCGCTTCCTGCGGATTTGCTGGTGGATGACCTGGGGGGATGGCTGAGAGGAGACAGGTAGAATGACAGTTTACAGACCAAGACTCGATCTTTCTCTCTGTCCAGTTGATTTGTGGGTTGTGAGTTAGCAACCAGTCGAAACCCAGAACAATTGGTGAGCTGGCCGCAGGGAAAACGTAAAACGAGATTGTTTCTCTGTGATTGCCGGAGACAAGCAAGTTCAATGGTTTAGTTTGATGAATTATCTGTGGTAGTGACTTGCCGTCCAACGCGGAAACCCGGAGTGGAGTGGGGAGCTGGATTGTTTCTATGGCCATTTGCTTGACTAAACTCGAATCGATCAGACTCAGTTCACAGCCTGAGTCGATCATGGTGGATAGCGTAACGGTCTGATTATTAACCAGCAATGCAGCCGGTAACAGTAGACGAGGATTGTTTTCTTTAATTAAATGGTCCGCCAGCTCCCTCGCTTCTAACGGCGGACCCCGGCGTTTCCCCGCACTGGGCAGTTAGCGACGAAATGCCCGGACTCTCCACAGTAAATACAGAGTTTTGACTTGACACGTCTCTGTCTTTCTTCGGGCGTGAGGCGCGTGTGGCCAACCTGCATGGGTTCTGGTTCTGATGTATCCGGGGGAGAAGCTGCGGGATTAATTGATCTGCCCAACATCATGGTTCTTACTAGACGACCCTGCTGGTCCCCTCCCCGGGTTCTAGCTCGAATTCGATTGTCGAGTCGGATTGTTAAACTTATGAGTTCGTCAAGGCTGTCGGGTTCGTCTAGAACTGCCAATTCGTCTTTGATCGATTCATTAAGGGCGTTAAAATAGGCCCCCTTTAGGGCGGAGGGGTTCCAATCTGAAGCGGCAGCTTTGATTCGGAAGTCGATAGCGAAGTCCGCTACCGTTTTCTGTCCTTGACGCATCTTAAACAAGTCTCTCGAATCCGCCGCTTTATCAGGGTCTCTATTAAAGGTTTGTTTAAATTCTTTAAGGAACTCATCAAAAGTGCAACCGTAGCTCGAGGGAGAGGTAAACCTGGCTTCTGCCCAGTCGAGGGCACGACCAGACAGCTGAGAGATTATAAACGAAATTTTCGCCCCATCATGGGGAAAACTCTGCGGGCTATGGTTAAAGATGATCGAGCACTGTAACAGGAAACCCCTGCACTTACTCACATCTCCTGTGAACCTCTCGGGGTTGGTCGGCCGGTAATCTGAAAACGAGGAGTGGATTGGATAATCT